CTTGAGTGGAGGCCCAATGTCCTTCTGCTACCTTAATACTAAACCTATAAATATAGGCTCATAGATCTATTTCCCCATCCTCATATGAATATATTTGCATATGTACATGTCTTTTTCTAGACCTCTATAAATGAAGGGCAAAGAATCTTATCTTTCTCCCACAGAGCAGCTGGTGGTATCAAACTGCTGACCTTGTAGTTAGCAGCCAAACGCATAACCCACTGTGCCACCAAGGGCTTCCTTACTATACAAAATCTTTCCTGGTTGATTATTTTTCTGGTTTTGTTTTTCAGCCATTTGTTCATTTTTACTTTACCTAGTGCTATGCCGGTGCTTATTTAAAAGCATTTAAGCTACTAAACTGTAAGACTTTTTAATAAGGCTTGTGTATGAACAACTTCTGAAATACAGAATGATAACATTTCTACTGTAACTTAAATGTCTCTGGGTTTAAGGAGATGATTTAGTAAATTGATGCCGGTTTCCCTAGCATAACTATCTTCACATCTGTTATGTTAGGGAACCATACATGTGGGCATAGATTTTTCTGATTTGTTAACGAAATCATTTCATCAAAGCAGATTGGAGACATAAAAACAGCAGAAAAGTATTTTCAAGATGTTGAAAAAGTGGCACAGAAATTGGATGGACTTCAGAGTAAAATCATGGTTCTAATGAACAGGTGTGTATTTTCCCATTATATATGTGTTTTTCCTATAACTTTCCAAGAGAAGTAGAACTGTATTCCTGAGAAGTGAAGCCTTCTAGGGCAGTGGTTCGCCTTCCTAAGGCTGCGACCCTTTCATACAGTTCCTCATGTCGTGGTGACCCCTCAACCTTAGCATATAACTGTCATTTTGCTACTGTTATGAATAGAAATGTAAAGATCTGGTATGCAGGATGTATTTTCATGGTACAAATTGAAAATCATTAAAGCATCAGGATTAATCACAAAAACAATATGTAATTGTATATTATGGAATATTTATTTCTAATGACAAGTAAGTGAAATGTTGTCTTGAAGCATGGTGTAGCGTGGGTAAGTCTTCATGATCTGCATGTGGGCGGACCCGCCTAGAGACGGATAGAGGAGCGGGTTCCTAAGACCATTTTCCGATGGCCTTAGGTGAACCCTGTGAAAGGGTCTTTAGACACTCCCCCCCCAAGGGATCGCGACCCACAGGTTGAGAACCGCTGCTCTAGAAAGTATCTGAGTTCTGCATCTCAGAACTGAGACTGCATAAAGCACAGTCTACAAGGTTTTCTGATGTTTTCTTGCATTTCAGGGATGTTCTTTTGGTCATAAAAACTGAGTTTACGTGGCTTTCCCCTCTCTTTTTATGAAACTGCTGCTTATATTGCCTCCAGTTTCAATAAATTTGCATAGTTGTTCACTCTTTAGCAGACCAGACCTTTTCAATTCATATGTTTTGGTGTTCTGTGATCAGTTTCTTATGTCAAACAATAGTGTAGCCTTTGTGTAAGCATGTTTATTAAGATGAAATCTTTGCTCAGTACAAATCATACCCATAGGAACAGAAAATAAAGGAATCTGTTTTACATACCAGAAGTCATTTTAGGTGAACTTCCTATTTCTGAATTAATGGAAGTGAGACTTACTCGCATTTGCCAGCCAGAATGTATGATGTGGTTCAGTCAACTGAGCTGTCACTTTCTCCATCTGGAAAGCATTAGCACCCAGACTACTGCTAGTTACACTCAGCAGAGCCCGTGTCCAGCGCTTCTCTCTCTGCGGGCCGCCCTCCCTCTCTCCCTGGTACCAACAGCAGCGGACTCCCTGGTTGACGGCCTGTGTGTTGCTTGTATTGCAGAGCTTTCCTTCAGCTCGGGCAGAATCACTTTGCAGAAGCCCACAAATGCTTCACAGAAATTTTACGAATTGAGCCAACAAATGCAGTGGTAAGATTCCAGAGCAGAAACATCATGCAGTAACCCTGGGTCCCTCAGCCTTTCCTGCAGATTCCAGAAAAGTACATGAAGTCAGATTTCAAACAATACCTGCTGGCCTTTCTCAGGCCCACAAGCCTCCCACAGTGGTTTGGGGAGGGTTTCTAGGCCTGCCTGAGCTCCAGCCTTGTGCACAGCTCTGCAGCCCACCCCACCCCCACACACACACACACAATAAATGGCAGTAGTCCTGGTGCTTAGGAGCCAGGACTCGATTCAGGAACCAACACAGGAGGTCTCTCTAACATGTGCTTTCGTTGTTCTAATTCTGCACACGTGCTCCCTTTCCCTAGGCTAATAACAATGCGGCCGTGTGTCTGCTTTATCTGGGGAAGCTGAAGGATTCCCTCCGGCAACTGGAAGCAATGGTCCAGCAAGACCCCAAACACTACCTGCACGAGAGCGTGCTCTTCAACCTGACCACCATGTATGAGCTGGAGTCCTCCCGCAGTATGCAGAAGAAGCAGGCTCTGCTGGAGGCGGTCGCTGTCAAAGAAGGGGACAGCTTCAACACACAGTGTCTCAAGTTAGCATAGGTCGTTTCCTCTGTCTAGTCCCTCCGTGAGTGACTTGGGTTTTTATAACTGTATAAATAGGAACTAACGTATGAATGAAGTTCTGATTCAATAAAATCACCTTCACGGTTGTTTGGGAAAATGTCTTCTTGATCTTCAGCCACAGCCCAGGCTTACACTGTGCTGACAGTTTGCTGAACTTCAGCCAGCTTAATCCCTGCAGCTCTGCGACTATTTCTGAATAAAGGGAGTAAACGTGCTATTAAAATGGTATTCATAGATGGAGGAAACCCATATTATGCATCAGACCCTTTTGTTTATTCTTGGAAGCCAACCTGCTCCGTTTATTAATTTCAGAATACCCTCAGAAAAAAGCTGAAAAGTAAACTATGAACCACCCTCACAGGGAGGCTCCGTGTCTGGAGGACGTATAAATAATGGAGGAGAAATACCAAACACAGACTGTCATTCATCTTCTTCATCTCCCCCTCCCACCCCCCCAAAACTCTAGGGCATCAATTTTATTCATCTGATTCCTTTTCAGCGTTATGCTGAAAACCTTGGACAAGCCCTGTGACGGGCGAAAAAATCCATCCTGATTTCTCCTGCATATTATACATCATATGGAGCGAGGGGGTGCTCCATTCAGTGGGGAGCAAGTAGAACAAAGGAACTTATCACGCATAACAAAGCAAGAGTGAGCACTTCAAATGTATGTAAACAGGTGCATTAAGACATGCTTTTGAACCAAGGCGTGTATATGCATTTAAGTGTTCTTTTATGCCTAAGTGTCACTACAGTTGCTTGTATATTTACAGAGCTACAAGGCCACTTCTGAAAAATCTAAAATGCTTGAAAATGCTTTAACTTTAGTAAGGAACTTCTGTCAAGAATTCCTTAAATACAGTTATCTTCTAATGCATTTTTAAATATTACTCGTTTTAAGGACTCTGTGATCTAAACATCTGTTGCATAAAGCAAAGCTATATTCATCTTGAAATAAAGTAGAAGCACGGGTAGAGCATCTAGAAGGCAGACTGTCTCAGTGCACTTCCTGAAAGAGGTGAATTGCACTTCAAAGCACCAGAAAAGGAGACGAGCCAGCCAGAAAGACCGTCGGACACAAAAAAATGTCTTCAAAATGCGAGAAAAAAATAGTACTTTTAAAAAGGTGTAATGTGAAGCCCTTCACCAGGAGGGTTTTCCTGCAGTTGTGGCTGCAGGGGTGAAAGAGGGAGCTTTTCCTCTGGCTCAAACCTGGAACCAAACAGTGGAGAGACAGGCAGCCTATGGGGGCTGTAAGTGGATTATGGAAGCTATCATTTCTAGGTTAATGATTCAAAATGGTCCCAGGTCAGTTGTGCATAAAAGTGGGTAATATTGCATAGTCTGGCCCTAAACATAAACCAATCAAATTAGAAATGGGAATCATTGTTCCTTATTAAAGTACTGGCAACCCAGAATCCCCTTCCCTCCCACCAGATCCGCCACAATTCCTAAATAATAGCACCTGTAGTGAGGAGCCCCAGAAAGCTGGACCGGCCAGGTGGAGATGGATACCCCCAACTTAACGTGTCTCAAGGATGCCTCAGCATATGGACAGTGACAGGGTGTTGGCACTTCATTTCTCTTTTGGATTGATTTGCAAATTCTTAAGGACAGAAGAGAAAACATTTTGCTATGGATATCTATGACAACTGGGATAATTATAATTTATCTAGTTTGTATTCAATTTTACCTTAAAACTAAAAAATGGAAATTAGATGCATCCCTAAAATCAATCCTAGAGATAGAGTGAAAGGTTAACACTCAAAGAAATTAATTACCTTTTATAAATTTCAGCTAGAAGACTGGAAACCTCATTAGGTTGACACTGGACTCAATACTTCTTGAATGCCTATGCCTACACTGTAAACCACTCCAGAGAATTGCATCCCCAGTAACCATAGCAAGATCATTTCTGGAAGTGATACTACACAGGCACTAAATTAGTGCTACATGTTCCCTCTAATCATTACCACCACCACCACCCCCAATATACAGGGCCTTCCCAACAAGGAATTGGTGTTATTTTTACTAATTGAACACTACAGCACATTTAGGAGTCCTAGTGGCATGATGGCTATTTAAGCATTGGCTACTAACCACAAGGTCAGCAGTTTGAAACCACCAGCAGCTCGGAGGGAGAAAGACGACCTTAAGGAGTTGAAAGTCTCAGGAACCCACAAGGGCAATTCTACCCTGACTGTAGGGTTACTGTGAGTCAGAATCAATGTGGTGGCAATGAGTTTTGGGGCTTTTCCTTTCTTTCTTTCTTTTGAAAGCACATACTAAGAAGCCCTAAGGGCCACACGGAAGGGTGTGACATAGCACTGATATGTCATAGCACCACAAACCTATCCTCTAGTTCCCGAGCATTTTCTCCCCTTACTATTGTGGTTTTTCTTTGTTTTTGACTCATTAATCTTGTCAGATTTGCATAGGTTCATTTGTATATTTAAGATTGTTAGATACCTGAAAGCCAAGATAGATAACCCTTCAGAAACAGTAACCGGTATGGGGCGTGGGGGGGTGGGGGGAGACAGGGGGCTGATGGCACTGATGACTGTATAACCCCACTTGATGGGGCCGAACAGCAGAATTGTATGTGAATGGATATACTGGATGTGTAAGAGATGGCAAAAATAGCAAGGGTTCCTGGTGGGTATGGGGGCGTGGGGGGTGGGGAGGATAAATGGGAGCAGGTTGAACTCAAGGAGTTCAAGTAGAAAGGGAATGTTTTGAAACTGATTGTGGTAAAAATTGTACAGCAGTGCTTCATGTGATTGAACTATGGAATGTTATGATATCCTTAAGAGCTCCCAATAAAATGAATAAAATTTAAAAAAGGAAGTCACCCTGCACAAAGCATGGAATACAGAGATGGCTGAGGTTCCTACATAGGACATCTCTATAGATACAACTCATGGAGGAGTCTTAGTGACAAAAAGAAAACTTGCACATCCAATAGGTACTTGGGGAAATAGATTCCATAAAGACCAGTACTGATGCTACCAAGATCCCTCCATGGTGGGATGCTCCCTATCAGTCACTACATCAGCTGCCTGGTTGGCCCTATCTTAGAGCCACACTCTCTGCCTTTCCTGACAGGACCACACATGGAAACACCCACCTACCCCACCCCCGTATACACACAAAGAACACACATCATCAGAGCTCTCACTGGGCAGGCTTGGATTCAACTGTCAAAAGCATCCCACCAGCAAAGGCTTATTCTGCTCTGGTCACATATTCAAAAATCTGTAAGCTCAGGGAACATCAGCATAGAGCCAAGGGTCGAATTCTTCCAAGTTAGCATGAAAGGTGAGTGGCATGTATGTAAGAATGGTGTAGGGACCACATCTGACTTCCTGCATTCACTCGTGTGGAGGAAAAGCACGTCAGCATCAGCCCTTGGCCAATTCGTGTGAAGGACAGGTTGAACATGCCTCTACCCTCTTCCTTTGCCAATTCTTATCTGACATCAAGGCACTTAATGATCCTCTGCTGAGTCTGACACTTCATTGAAATGGCCACACAGAACTTAAAAACAATACTCACAGTCATGGGGTTTTTACAGAAGTTAATAGGTTGCATTTCAGGAGAAAAAAATGTTAAGGATTTAGTTCTTTGGTCTATAGTACCTCTTCTCAGCCATGAGCACAGGCATACCTCTCTGATCCATGATCTCTCAGCCTTGTGAGTTCTTAACCTCTGTCCAACTCCGACAGATGTTACAAAGCTCCTGTGGTGCTGCAAGAAATGCACAATAGGCACCCCACTCCAAAAGCACTTCTGCCTGAAGATACTCAGCTAGCTTTACTCACTCTGGGGGCCAGAAAGCCTGCCAATCTGTTTCAGGCTCTGACTTTTGGCTCTGCTGCCACCGCTGCTCCGTCACTCCTCTCCACTATGGCGTCATCCTGGACCAAAGAGGTTCAACGCGAGTGTCTCAGAGGACAAAGGATGCCCTCCGCTCCTGCTCGTCTTTCTTGTTGGTAGTGAGATCCCACATTCCTACTTCTGAGACGGCTTGCTTTATACCCAGCAGGATGCACATCCTATCTGCATGTTTCTCTTCAGTCATTTGGTAGATGTTACAAAGACTGACTCAAAGAGCCATAGCTAGAATTGCAGTGTACCACGGGGTCTTTGGAAGCTTGATTTGAATCTGTTTTCCTTGGGTCAAAAATATTTGTGTTATTTTAGTGGTTAGTGTCGAATCGGCTACTACTCAAGATTACATACTTCAATTCTGCTTCGCTCATACCTATTCGTGGGCTCAAGGTTCCCAGCCCTTCACCTGAAGCTGCCACACTTTTGATAACCATGACTAGTCCTGCTGGCTTTCTAGGTACATGAGATGAGTTTATCCCTTAAATGTATCTATTTAGCCTTAGAGTCTACATTTGACACATGGGTGTTCTGTTAGAGCTTCGTGTTGTTAGGTGCTATCAAAGTGATTTCTACTGGTAGAGACACTGTGTGTCACAGAAGCACTGCCTGGTCCTGCACCATCCTCACAGTGGTTAATAACTTTTAAGCCCACTGTTGCAGCCGCTGTATCAAAGCATCTCATCGAAGGCCTTCCTCTTTTTGGCTGGCCTTCTACTTTACAAGCATGATGTCCTATTTCCAGGGACTGATCTCTACTGATAATCTGTCCAAAGTACATGGGACAAAGTCTCCCATCCTCACTTCTAAGGAGAATTCTGGCTGAGCTGCTTCCAAGACAGCTTTGTTCAGTGCTTCCAAGACAGCTTGCAATCAGTGCTCTTCACCAACACCCCAGTCCACATGCATCAAGCCTTCTGCTCTCCGTCTTCTTCAGTGTCCAACTTTCACATGTATGTGAGGCATCTGAAAATACCAATGACTTGAGTGAGGCCCACCTGCGTCCTCAACATGACATTTGCGTTCTTCAGCACTTTGAAGCGGCCTTGCACAGCAGATCTGTCCAGGGCGACATGTCTTTTGATTTACTGCTGCTTCTATAAGTGTTGGTCTTACATCCAACCAAAATTAAACCCTTGCAACTTCAATCTTTGCTCCATTTATCATGAGGTATATTGATCCAGTTGTGAGGATTTTT